GTCTGTGTGTCTGAGCCTACCAAGTCACAATGTCTATCCGTGTGTCTGAGCCTACCAAGTCACACTGTCTTTCCGTGTATCTGATCGAACCAAGACATAATATCTGTTCGTGTATCTGAGTCTACAAAGTCATTATGTCTGTCCGTGTGTCTGATCCAACCATGACATAATGTCTGTTCGTGTATCCGAGTGTGTACAAATACATACTGTCTGTCCGTGTATCCGAGTTTACCAAGTCACAATGTCTGTCCGTGTGTCTGAGCCTACCAAGTCACACTGTCTTTCCGTGTATCTGAGTCTACCAAGTCACAATATCTGTGCGTGTGTCTGATCCAACCAAGACATAATGTCTGTTCGTGTATCCGAGTGTGTACAAATACATACTGCCTGTCCGTGTATCCGGGTCTACCAAGTGATGATGTGTGTCCGTATGTCTGATCCAACCAAGACATACTATATGTCCGTGTGTGTCCTTATTCAGCTTCATTTAAGTGTCTGCAAGTCTTGAATAAAACACATTTTAAAATTTCATGCTGACTGCATCCACTATACAAGTTATTGCTTACACAAATTTACATTTGTAATATCTGTAGTTGACGTCCTCATTCATATGTAAATATTATCTTATTTTAAAAATTAATTTCACTCATAAAGATGTTTACGAGATAACACAATTCTTTTAAACAAATTGTATTTTAGTGAGACCTATTATATATGTCACGCGCTGCACTTATGGGGGGCAAACCGGAACGCAGTTGGGTCACCTCGATTGACTGACACCGGGATCTCGGCTTAAACCGCAATATACATATTTCCGGCTGCTGTTTTTTTTCTGATAAAGAACGATCCTTGTCGAGGCTTTTTATCAAGATTGTTATTAAACATACCAGTACATCGTCATCAGAAAATATTGATATATCCTACTTGTAGTTCATCTTATCATATTTCGGTCATAATTTTACTATTAACCTGTTAAAACACGTTATTATTCCTAATAATAGACATGGAAAACTACTCCGAGCATTAGGTGATCAAAAATAGCTTAAACAACCGCCAATGTACCTTGGATAAACACACGCATGTGTCGCAGTGTGGATATTGAGGTACAGCTATAGGTATGTGTGGTTAGTTGTTCCCATGTGGCCCTTCACATGTGTATATTGCTTGCATTCTCGGTTACTGCATGTTAACATGCATTTGTCCGTGTGCTACCAACAGTCCGAGTATACTTACACATTGTACACACGCGCAAAATGCATGTAGCATGTTACATACATAACGAATGAGAATGGATAAATATATCTTGAGAAGGTGTGAGGTGTCAAATATGATGACCGAAATTCCTTTTATAATAAACTGATAGAACCACCAGATAATGGATTATCCGAAATAATTATAGTAGTAGTTTATACCGTTTCAGATGCCATACTTTTTTGAGTCGGAATGTTATGCATCATGCTAATTTAAAGTCAAACCTGTGATCGCTTAATACAAGTTCAATTCACAATGACATCCTTACAATATGAGGAACATTAAAAGTGGTCGCTTAATGCAGGTGGTCTCTTAATGGACGTGTTTGCATGCAGCTGTGAAAACGTTTGTTCGGCTAAGTAATATTAAACTCATATTTCAAGTTTGTTATCTGTAAGCTCTTTCAGTTGCATTTCATACATGAATGGTCCGTATTTATCCATTAATATATTTTGATGATGATCTTCATATAAATATTTAGTGGTATTCAAGTTCATATCAATATGTTTTAAAAATCGTAGTACACCACTCTATCCTTGCCTGAATGTATTACAATTTATTTGAGTCTTCTTTTTAAAATGCCCATCCCTAAAAGTTAAAAGCGGCATGTGGGAAGTTAATCTTGTCAATATTTTCACCAGAACACTAGATATTTTGCATATTTATGATGAAATATCAGATATATTTCAAAATGAGATATTTGTTAAACGAGTCATTCAAGAAGTTCTCATTTTCAGCGAAATTATGTCGAGCTAAACCGAAACGTTCCGGGCTAGTTTTAAAACTTTGTATGGAATGTAAATCAAATTAAAATCAACGTTACAATGATCATAGCAAATTGTCCCCCGGTTCTTGTACCTTACAACCGTTTATAGCGTCATAGAATTTGTTTATCTGCAGACGTCACATAATGAATAACTAAATGTGACGTTACTAAAAACAATTAGCCATCTTGGGAAACTCCAGTGCTTTTGGATTTCTTTCCATTATTTGGTACCGTATGAACTCGACACAAGTAATAAGACCAGATAATGAAAAGCACTGTATGCCAAACTAATGCATTTTCATATTGAAAGAAAATATACAGTTTTGGATTATGTGAAAACGGGTGAAAATTTCCATTTTAATCTTTTGGCAGAATAGCAATGTTGGATTATGTAATAACGAGTGAACATTTCAAATTTAGGTAATGCGGGTTTCAAAAGATTTGGCTGCGCAATTATAACTGCACGTGCTGTCATCCGCGGATTTTTATCTTTCCGTAAAACCGATTGCTCTGTAGGCTTCCTACCTCATTTGTCACGAGCGAGTTATGGATTCTCCATACATGGTGTACTTAAAGCCCACCCTGGTAGTTCGGTGGCAATATCTGCGTGGGACGTAACTGTCAGCACGTCTTCAGATTACCAAGGTCAAGGGAAGGGAACTCTTCACGTTTATATCAACTTCAGAGGTCACTGAGGCCATTTAGGAAGGGCAACCGCACTTGTGTTGCTACAGACGTTATGATTGGGTAATCCTTTTTGATACAGTCATTGGGACTGGTTAATCCATTGCTTATACAATCTTCTATTGGATACTCAGGTGTTGATTCATGTTTGGACACTTAATCGTCAAAACAAAATGGCAATACTTGATGAATGTGTTACGACTCGAGTCGCTTTAACTGCACCAGTCTGCTTCAATAGTTAGCTGATCTATCAACCCTTAAATGTCGCAACCAGCCCATGACGACTTCCGGGGTGTGTTAATTAGTAATGTTCCTACGTAAAATGCGTTTATAGACTTTAATACGAAATAAATGGATGATTTTTGGACGGTGTACATTGGATAAATGACGGTAACTCAGTCACCCCTGTATTTTGACAATGGTCTTGGATGTCCTTTTCTTTGGAGCAGTCCAATTTCATCATTAGATGTCAATGATTTAATGACCTTAAAGCGGTTTTGATGTTATGACGAGGGGCGCTGTTTTCATGTGAAAAGGGAGAAAACACTGTAGGAGACGCTTTGAAACCAGAGCTGAACACAAAGTCTGTTTGATTGACTTGTAAATGGCGGCCTATGTAATTGGCCTGGTATATTAGAAAGGTAAAATTAATACGCACATGCTGTGTTCAGTATTTAACAAATATATACAGACAAAAATACACAGCACGCTTAAATTTCTCCCGGTTCTTAAAATGATGGTCGTTATCATCCTAAACGTTTTTAACTATCTACTATTAGTTTATTGACTTTTTAAGATCAGGTGGTTTTTTTTGACACACAACAAGGCCGGATGATTCACTGACGGCAGTAGAGAATAGCACCACCAGTATCTTTCATTCAGATCGCCAAACACTGCCAACAGTTTTATTGTTAGTCATCCGTCATCTTGATTTGATTCCATCGTGGAACACTCGGATAAAACTTAGATCTCACAGTCAAATTATACATCAAATTAATTTTGTTATGGCTAAAACTTGTTTGAAACGAGCAAGCAAACCGGTGCGTTCGTGTCGCGTTTATAACCCTATCTGATATATCCAAAATACATACAGAAACTAAAGTAGTGGGTTCAATCTAAATGAAAAGCCAACGAAAAAAAATCATTTCCGTCAGAGCTTTTTTTAAGTATGATACATGGCAAAAGTCCACCACTGATCAATTATCTTGTTGAAAACATTACGATGCTGTACAGCTGGACCGACGGAAGGAAAAAACACTATTCCGGCAAGTTGTGGTTTAAAAGTTCCGTGGTGTTTGGAAAGCATTACGAGAAATTTGATATCTTAACTGGTTAAGAAATGTTCCTCGATATCCAACAGAGTCTAAAGTATAGTGTTATTTTAGTAAACTCGCTTTATCTATCCTTTCCAACAAAGTGCTGAGGTTTTTTAAGCGGTGATCGCGTTCTCAGTGTTGAACTAGGTTAAAATGCACAAGTCTTTAGACAAAACTATACTTTCAAAGCAACTTTCAGACATACGAAAGTTTTGTAAACCAATCAACGCCTACTTATGTTTGGAATATTCTGCCTCTGACCTTTTCGATGCTATTTGTTGAGATCAATGATGCTCAGAAATTTCCGTCTCTCCTAGACGTCACATCCTGACGTGTGATGTCTTTGACGTCTATGAGAATTCCGTGGATCTGGGTTTTTTACCGATTCTCGCAATCTATGAGAAAGTATTTGCGCATTTTGATTCGTCAACCGTAAAAGTATTTTACATTTTCAATTGAGGGAATTAATCAATTTAGTTTCATAATTGATAAGCTCTTAAAGAAGTCACAAAACTACCTTGAAGTCATTTCGGTTTGAGTCATTTGATTTTGTTTTATCGAGTCTCTGATGAGATCTACTTAATTTTCAAGAATATATATTTTCGCGCTTGTGCTCAAAACGAATTTGCTGCAAAAATTAGAATTGTCTAAATCGACAATTCTAATTTTGTGCAAAAGAAAAACAATCATTTACATTCTTCAAATATATATTTACACTTTTTAAGATTTCCAGGAATACCTATATTTGTTAATATTTTCCCCGATAGATTATTAGGTGAAGTAAACCCGAAATTATATATCTTACGAAATGAAACGGACTAACGGTATCTGTTCTTTTCAAAAATCACAAATAAAAATTTCAAAACATCGTATTTTAAAACTTAGTACATGTATCTTAAAACTTCATATTTTTAAAATTTCATATTTTAAATTTTTGCATTTTAAACTTCATTTTTTTTAATACTAATTTCTTTCTGTTTCAGGGTCAAAGACCAGGGTACAAGGCTAAATAGACCCCCACCAAAACCGAGGTACGCCCAGGACGATCTTACTCTCGTCACCACCTCCTGTTCTCAGTACCAGCGTCGGGCTGCCCGGGACTGTGGGGCATGTTGGGGTAGGGACCAGGAAAGACGACTCCACTCCCCCTCCTCCCACAGAGATAGCAGTGATAATAATATACTATTCTGTAGCCGTAGTGATCCAACGTCATCTTTATCTGGAAATTCCCTAACCACCGGTTGTGTTACCTTCCCGCGTAATTCACATAGACCGCAGCCCTCTATCAATAATAGTGAAGTCTGGGTTCAGTGTAATAATCTAAACGAAACCCAGTGTTGTTCCGGAAGTCGAATTAAAATGGTTCGGACGTTAGGGAAAATGTTATTCATGTGTGTGCTAATATCGTGTTTTGTGTACATTGTTGGATTTAAAAAAGCGAAGCTACCACCAGGTAGTGGAAATTCCGAGGATGGAGATACAACGTCCAGTGTACGTCTCGGTGGGCCGGATCGTGTAATGCTGGTGAGTCGATTTAAATCAAACACTCCCGTCTAGAGGCTTGGGGGTTCTTGGTTCATGCTCAGGGTAAATATACTTGAATCTATTGCACAGTCACCTGGTGAACCGTGCATGAGTATTTTTTGTAAAAGTATCAGTTTCACTTTCGGTCCCACTCTCCGAGATTTAACTTATAACCAGATACTGTTTTTATTGTAAAATTTATTACAACATGGAACATTATTGTTTTCATTTCATATTTACTCTTTATGGTTCATAAATGTAAATATTGATATCAAAATGTCATGTCTAAATTGTCTTTCTTTATTATGATTGATAATAATGTTTCAGTATTACCGATCCCATGAGTATCGACCTTTGTTTGTTTGTATTCATGATTGTTTATTTATTGTTTAACGGCCCACTAAGATTGTTAAGGGTCAATACATAGCTAGTTGGTAATGTGTTCAACAATATCACGGGAAGCCAGTTAAAAAAGGAACGGTAAGGGGTAGAAAAGAAAATATGTGAGCAAATATAGGGGCCTATTACGCCACGCAATAATTTTTGAGGGACTCATACCCTCCTGACGTAGTAGATTGTAGCTACTTCGGACCTTGTACTTTAGATCCTAGACAACTTAAACTCCTTCCCCCCTATTAAAAAATAAAGATTGTGTATCGGACTTGAGCAAGGCACATACACATTTTGGATGATCATTTTCGTGTAAATTCGCTTTAAACAACGGTGGCGATATCAGGATTCATTTGAACAATTAGTCATACCATGTAATGACTTTCTCATGGAGTAAAACGCACATTAAGGATCCCCATACCTCACTACCAGCAGATGAAAGTATGCATCGGAAACTTCATTTCCGGCACGACTTAAACTTTGGTAAAACAAAATTTGAAAAGAATTACATACAATGCAGATTGTTTAAGGACAAAATAATAATTGTAATACAGAAGATGAAGTGTACAAAGAACAAAAACAACGAATGTTATGCAACGAAGCCAGATCAAGGTACGAACCCTGGAACTCGGATCAATACACTGTCGCTTCATTGCATTTTTTAAGCACTCAAAACTTAGTATTTGTCTCTTTTCAGGAATTATTTATCAAAGGAAAAGTCATATCGAGATAAATTCATATTGACAGGTTTCAGAGTGGTACGGGGATCCTTAAGTGAATTTAAGGGATTAGTAGGGAGGTGGCAGTTGAGTTAATGTTGAATTTACCCCGGATAAAGTCAATTTGCATTACTTAAACTGATCATAAGCGTGTGTTTTTTTAACCTTCGTGGACATTTATACCTGTCGTAGTAAGTTTGTTTAAGATAATTAATATAATATGCGGTTCGGGAAGTTGACAATATTATGTCAACATGTCCCAAGAGGGTAAGATGTTTATTCACTCTTTAAGTCAAGTGAAAATTACTTTCATATCAAAAGGGAAAGTAAAAGATGCACTCCGCAAATACTTAACATCCACTTTGCTTATATGCGTGGCATTTGAGACGGGTTGACATTGTTAGTGTTTCGTTTTCTATATTGGCTTATTTAATTTATCATATAGCGTGGACTTTGACATAGTGTAAGTAGAAGTGACAGCTTTGCCAAGTACGTCATATATCATCCTGGCCTTCTCATTGTTAAACGAGATGGGTTACAGGGTACAGAAACGTTAGTCTTCTGGACGATTACGTTCGATAGATTACAAAATATGAAGAATATTCATCCTAGTAAAAGGTCTGACAATGTTCCCGCATAATCTGTTATCGTAGCGCCGATAGGAGCTAAATCAAACAGAAGAGATTTCTCTTTATCAGAAATAACGGTGTGGAACTGACACTCGTAGAGGGGCAGTTAAACCCGGTAGTAAGGAAACGGAATAGCACACACTGTTGTTGTAATAATAGAATAATGTTAGAATAATGCAGTGTGTTATCAACACAGAATAGCACCATTGGTTATAGCCAAGAGTAACACACTGATTTATTAACATAGGGTAGCACATTGTGTTATTAGAATAGAGTAGCATAATGTGTTATTAGCACCGAAAAGCACTTTGTATTAGTAGCACAATGTGTTATGAGCAAAGAGTAGCACAATGTGTTATTAGCACAGATTAGCACAATGTGTTATTAGCACAGGGAAACACAAAACCGTATAAGCACAGTGTAGCACATTGGGGTTTTAGCACAAAGTAGCACAATTTTTCATTAGTACAGAGTAGCACACTTTGTTATCAGTACATAATAGAACACTATTATTGACACAGAAAGCCACAGTTATTAGCACAGAAAAAAAAACATTCTTATTTGTTCAGAATAGTAAAATGTTATTAGTACGCGAATAGCACATTGGGCTATGATTGCACACAATATCACAAACTATTATTAACAAATAATAGTACATGGTGATATTGGAACAAGGCAGCAAACTGCTAGTAGCACAGACTAACACACAATGTGAGGTCTTACAATTTAGTAAAGACAAGTTGTGTAGTATAGCAGGGAACGTGTATATCAGCTAATTGATTAGAATACCACATCTGGACACTCGAGAAGAGTAGAGAATACATCATCCCAAAAGACAAACAAATATGTGTAATTAATTTGACCTTGTCTATTACCAACTGTATATAAACGCTCAGGAGAGCTGCCGCCAGACATTCCGAGTCGGTTAGACGCTTGTCAATGATTGCGCCGTCTGTTTGTAATGCTTAGATTTCTATGACCAAGTTGCCATGTAGCATGTTTGTGCATAAAAAAAAACTTAAAAATGGATGATAGAAGATATGATACACACTTCTTAAAGTTGGTAACAATGCGTTTATCTTACCGAGCTATTTTCTGATGTATGTTTATCTGTCGTTGCATCAATTCTTATCGCAGGACTATGTCATTGTATACATTCCGTTCTCAGCGGAGACGTTCACATCACAAGGCTAAAACACATGATACTTATCAGCGATATGTAATAATAGGCATAGAAATGGTATATATAAAAGTATCATTATAATAATGGGTACTCTTCAAAAACAAGTGCATTGAGGTGCGTCATAATTGCGTATGAATTTCAATTAAGATAATTGCAAAGTGCATTTTCTGTTTGAATTAACGAAGTTATGAAGAAATCATAGCAATGATTTTTTCAGATGGTGCATACTCTACACACCTGGCCGAGAGGTGGAATTGGTACTTTACACCCAGTTAAGTTAACAAAAAATTATATCAAGTTTTACCTCCCCTGTGTCGAAACTTTTTAAATCATCAAATGGAACATTGCCGGATTATTATTTTTAAAGAAGTATTTTGATTTTCACGGTAATGCAACTGTTTCACAATGGAGTATTTTTTCCCTGTATGGCTCAGTCTACTGCAATGCATTAATGGTTATCGGTGGACCTGTGTTATCATGACAACTAGTATCGTTTCTGAGAATTGAAACTTTATCGGGTGGAGTGCGACCGCCTGTGTCGCCGTTCCAACCTACTTCTCTGGTTGCCGCTTGACGATTGAACACTTTCGGACTGGAGTATTGTTTTACTCTGTCGGCACCCAGTGAAAATGTAGTATCAATCGTTTCCCAGGGTCAATGATTGGAGCGAATGGAATATGGTTTTCCAGGGTCGCTGTCTTGTCGAAATGGAGTCGAGTTCCATTGTCCCTCGTTTTGAAAGTGTAGTAATATATACAACGTGATAATTGATAACTATTTCCGGTAGCATTAGAAACCAGTGATGGCTATATGTTAGCACCGCTAACCAGTGATAGCTTTATGTTAGCACCGCTAACCAGTGATAGTTATATGTTAGCACCGCTCACCAGTGATAGTTATATGTTAGCACCGCTAACCAGTAATAGCTATATGTTAAAACCGCTTACCAGTGATAGCTATATGCTAAAACCGCTTACCAGTGATAGCTACATGTTAACGCCGCTAACCAGTGATAGCTATATGTTAAAACCGCTTACCAGTAATAGCTATATGTTAAAACCGCCTACCAGTGATAGCTATATGTAAACACCGCTACCCATTAATAGCTATATGTTAAAACCGCTAAGCAGTGATAGTTGTATGTTAACACCGCTAACCAGTAATAGTTATATGTTAGCACCGCTAACCAGTAATAGTTATATGTTAGCACCGCTAAGCAGTGATGGTTATATGTTAGCACCGCTCACCAGTGAGATTTATATGTTAGCACCGCTCACCAGTGAAATTTATATGTTAGCACCGCTAACCAGTGATAGTTATATGTTAGAACCGCTAACCGGTGATAGTTATATGTTAGCACCGCTAACCAGTGATAGCTATATGTTAAAACCGCTAAGCAGTGATAGTTATATGTTAAAACCGTTAAGCAGTGATAGTTATATGTTAAAACCGCTAAGCAGTGATAGCTATATGTTAGCACCGCTCACCAGTGATAGTTATATGTTAGCACCGCTAACCAGTGATAGTTATATGATAAAACCGCTAAGCAGTGATAGTTATATGTTAACACCGCTTACCAGTGATAGTTATATGCTAACACCGCTAAGCAGTGATAGTTATATGCTAACACCGCTAATCAGTGATATATATATGTTAGCACCGCTTACCAGTGATAGCTATATGTTATCACCGCTAACCAGTGATAACTTTATGTTAGCACCGCTAACCAGTAATAGCTATATGTTAGCACCGCTTACCAGTGTTAACTGAGTGTTACTACATCTAACTAGTTTTAAATCTCTGGTACCAACGCTTACCTATGATAACTAATGTGTGGTGTTAACCATGGTTAATTCTCTGTTACCACCGCTAGCCAGTATTAATTCTTTGTTACAACCGCTAACCAGTGTTAAATCTCTGTAACCACCGCTAACCAGAGATAACTTGCAAGGTTAACCAGGGTTAACTCTCTGTTACCACCGCTAACCAGTGTTAATTCTATGTTACAACCGCTAACCAGTGTTAAATCGCTGTAACCACCGCTAACAAGCGATAACTTGCAAGGTTAACCAGGGTTAA